TGCTGCAGACATGTCCCCCATGGAAGCACAAGGAGTACTGCCATTCCTGCAGTGCCCCTGGCTCAGCTCCATATCCTTGCTGCCACACGGGTTGTGGGTGGCCACAGGATCTGTTCCCAGGTACCGCCTGCACCATCCGCCTTCCCCCAGCTTTTCCTGGCCCCCAGGATGTCCCAGCCTGCCTGACCCAGCAGCACCACCCTGCTCCCTTCTGTCAAAACACCCACTGAAACACCCAGATCCAGAATCTGCCAAGAGCGGGGGATGCCACGCAGCAATCCTGGATGCAGCCACTATTCTCCAGGATGAGAAATGGTGGCACAATCCCATTATTCAAACTCCACACAGCACTGGGCAGCGTGGCTGCAAGGACATGGCCACATCTCCCCTCTTACCTTCTGGCTTGAGGATGGTTTTAACCTTCTGCAGAAAGTGTTTTTCCACAAAGGCTGGGGGTGGACAACTCATTCCCACTGTGAGGTCTTTGCTGTCCACATCGAACATGATGGCATCGTACTGGGCTGGGGCTGCGGGAGGAAGTGCAGAGACTTGTTAGCCCATAGAACACAGATAAGCGAAGCATGTTAGGGAGGCAATGAATGGGGTGCACAAGACACCACTTCTGCCATGTTATGGCCACTTCTCTCCCTTGGAGTTTTTCTTTCCAAATGAAACTCAAGGCAGCAGCCCTCAGCACTGGGGGAGGCAGCAAATCTAAGTCCCCTGCACACATGAACTGCAGAGACCTGGTGAGGCTGGAGTTCATGGCAGATAGCAGGAGATGGGCAGGGATGGGAAGCAGAGGGTGAAAACAGCTCCAGTCCCCACCATGTCACCCATCAGACTTGATGGGGCATGTGGGATGCACTGTGATACAGTACCTTCAGCTGCCAGCTTGGCCACATAGTCTAGGCCATCAGAGATGTGCACCCGCATCCGGTCACCCTGGGAGAAGCCGAACCAATGTGTGGCCACCTCCAGCATGGAGGGGTCGATCTCCACCACGGCCACACAGGCCTGCGAGAAGTAGTCATGGATGAAGAGGGGCAGGCTGCCCCCTCCAAGCCCCACCACCAGCACTGCCAGCAGGGCTCCTGCCAATGGAGAGTGTCCAGTAAACCACTAGGATGGCCATGCTTCCACGGCTCCTCCCACCTGCCCACCCCAAACCACTTTGGGAAGGGTGCATGGGGCACTTTGGCCAGGAAAGCCTTTCCCCAAGGAGCTGCAGCATGGGGACATATGCATGCCTGCCCCTGGCACAGCCTTGTCACCTGGAAGGGGGTCAGGGCCCCCCAGCAGACAGAGCCCTGCAACCATGGCTTTGTGGTGCTCGCAGCACAGGTAGCTCTTGTCAATGGCTCCAGGCAGCTCAGCAGAGCTGGGTTTCTTCTTGTCCTTCCTCCGTTTCTTCTGGCCTGAATGACAGGAGGCATCAGCTGGTAAGTCATGATGGGAGAAGTGGTAGGCACCCACAACCCTTGTCCCACCCACAAAGCAAGCAGCAGAGTGTAAAAGCGCACCCCAAGCTGCTCCAGGACAAGGCAGACATGTCTCAAGAGGTACTTCTATCTTCCTCCTGTATCAGTCTCACTCTCTGCCACCCCAAAAAGTCGCCCTTGGCCCCTACCCCTTCCCACCTGCCCCACAAACCTGGGAGAGGGGTGGGGGCCAGTAGCCGAGCCTCCGACTGGACCACGTTCCTGTTGCAGAGGAAGATGAGGCGACGGAAGTAGCGAGTGCCATCCCCCTTCACATCCTCCACAACATACTCCCCGCTCAGGGGGCTGGTGTCACGGTGCAGCACTGTCCGCACCCCAATGTCCCCTCCCACAGACAAAAAGGGCACCTTCAGGAAGAACAAGGGACTAGTGTGAGGAAGGGCTACAGGAACAGACCATGGCATTGCTACTGTCCTAAAGAGCAGGGATTAAGCAGAAAAAGTGTAGTAGCAGTGGGAATTGCTGTAGGCATCCACAGGGCAGCTGGGGACACCAGCTTTCCTCCCATACACACACTGGGGTACAGGGAGCAAACACTCCAAGACTACAACACTTTCTGTTTGCAACAAGCAAACACGGCAAGAGCTCAGGTTTGAGGAGCTAGGACAGGAAGGAGCAAACAGAAAAGACAAAAGAAGTTAAAGCCAGGATTAAGAAGGGGCCAGGTGCTCTCAGGGTTTCAGGATGCCTGGTTTTCTTGGGATGCTGGTTTTTTGAGGGCAAGGACTTCACACTGAATCCTGCTGTGCAGGCACCTCAAATCCAGCAAAGGCAGCCAGCTGGAGGGAAAACCAAGAGGAGCTACACCTGAGGCCAGCCTCCTCCCCACCAAGGCAGCAAGCTCATGCGCTGCAGCTTGGTCTCCCTTGAAAAAGAGAGATTTGCTGCTGGCAAAGAGCCAACCTGTCCCCAGTTTTGGAGAAGCCAAGCGAGGAGGGCCGGGCAGTGGGGCTCACCTGCTGCCGGGCAGGGAGGCTCAGTGGGGCCAGCTCCATCACCTTCCCCGATAGCTCCGACTGGATGCTGGCCATGCCCTCGTAGTGCTGCTCCCTGTGCAGGGCCACCGTGACCAGGCGTCCAAAGCCTGCGCTGGTGGCCAGCTGCCTCCGCCCTTCCTCTGTCCCAAAGAGCCATTCCGTTTCTCTGCCCTGTGGGACTGCAAAAGGGGCTGCCATCAGTCTGTGCCAGTCCTGCAGCGACCACCCCAGCCTCCAAGAGAAGAGCCACAGGGAAAGGCAAGACATCACAGGGAGGTAATGCTGCATGCCTAGAGCTGTCCTCTGCAGTCATTAAGAGAGCAGGGACCTTCCTCATTTTGGGCAGGCTCATGCAGGAGGCTGGAAAAGCCATGTCTTGTAAGAAGGGGGTGTCGAAAAGCCTCATTGACCTGTCTCCAGGCTGTGCTAACCCCAGCTTTGCAGGCGCATGGGGAGGAGAGTGCTGCTGGCAGAACCTGATATGCCTCTAGGAGGTGCAAGTGCAGAAGCAAAGCACAGCCCTGAGCAGCCTGGCCCTGGTAAGTCAGGATGCCCACACCAGACTAGAGAGGCTTTTTTGTCTGCATCTGCTGTGCTACAGATCTATGCAGCAATGTGCTATGGTAGCTGTCACCAGGATCAAGACAGGAATCACCACCTTGGAGGCAGGGCAGGCAACATCCCTCTACTGCCAGATGGGCACCTACTCAGCCAGCGAGCTCTATTCCAGATCTCTGCTTGCACCACCAGGCAAACACACGTCCCACCACAAAGCCAGGACTAAACATCAACCGAACCCTGCGCAGGCATGTTATTTTCTTCTCCAGACCCAGCTTTAGCAGGGCCAGGATCACTGGTCATTTTGTAGCTCCTGGCCAGAGCACCATCTCATTGCAGGCAGGAGAGATTGTACTCACTGATGAAGATGGCGAAGCAATTGTCCCGGGAAGGTTTCACTGAGGCACTGTCAACCACATGCAGGGTGTAGCGAGGCCTCCCGCTCTCTTTGTCACACAGATCCAAGGAAACCTGCTCCCCACAAGGGGTTTTGCTCAGCTGGCTGCAGAGCAGGGCATAACGCTGCCTGTCTTTCACTGCAGCCACCAGCTGCTCCACACTCTCCACCCGCATCGGCTTGTCCTGCTCCTCAGGGCAGATCTCCAGGATCTGTGGTGCCGAGCCAGTGATCTTCCTGAACTTTGTCATGACGTAGATGAAGACTGGTAGAACAAACTGCTGCTTGTCCCCACTGCCAGCCACCTGATGGACACGCACGACCCAGCCCTCCTGGAAGAAGTATTCCACTGCTTTCTTCAGCACATGGGCTTGAGCCAAGGAAACACAGAGGTAGCGCCCACCTACCTGCAAGACCCGGCTGATCTCACGAAACATCTTGTGCACCTTGTCTAGAGTGGCCTCCTCTTCATCGGTGAGGATGGCATCCAGCGTGCCTTTATCCAGGACCACCTGAAAGTGAGCATCAGGGAAGTCCATCTGAAGCACGTCCATCAATAGGTAGTTCATCTTCGGCCTCTTGCTCCTGCTCCGCTCTTGCATTTGATGGATCACTGTGTCATTGATGTCGATGTTCACAATGTCCTGGCACATCCCCACGTCGTACATCTGCTCACTCAGCTCCGAGTTCCCACAGCCCACCACCAGAACCTGGGGAGCAGCATAAGAGCAGCGTGATGGTGAGAGCGCCCTGGAAATGTGCCCCAAAGCATTTTACAAGCAAATATCATCCACGGCCACGAGCCCTCTGTGAGAACCCCACCTGCAAACCCGTTCTCCGGGGCGCAGAAATAACATTTCCAGCCTAACAATTCTATGATTGTTATTTCCATACAGAAAAGTCACACATGCACAAAACTGACATATCGCTGCATCTCGGGTGGGGACGATATGGGTGTTTTAACCCCCTGAGTTCCCCATGCCACAGCAGTTCAAGCCGGGTCACGGCGGCGCAGAACTCGCCGCACAGGAGGGGCCCGGCGCACGGAAGGCTCGGCCCGGGCACACGGCGGTGGGTACAGGACGGGGCTCACCTTATCGCGTGGCCGGACATACTTGTGCAGGACGGGGCAGAGCTCCGGGAAGGCCCCGTACCACTCGAAGGGGCGCTGCCCGCGCTGCCGG